TTCAGCCTCAGATTAAACCTCAACCTTGAACATGACATTAACCTCGAGCTTAACACGAACATGACATTAACCTCGAGCTCAAATTAATTAAACATATTCTTCCTAGTGAAAAATAAGGGGCTCACAAAAGTACGTCATACTTGACTTCTGAGTCATGAATCTCATCTACATTTTTCATTATCGTTATAGTAACATGTTGACGTTGCTTGAAGAAGGTCTTTACCTAATGAATATTTCAGACGTGTACATCAAAGCTCTATTAAGGGATGCATGGATAGTGACGAATCCAAGATCTTGAGTGAACATGGTCGATCGTTGATCATTGACCGTCAACGACCACAATAATAAGCAATACCGTGAATTCAAATTAATTACATTGTAGTTCGAATTGTAATTGTGAAATAACGTTATATATCCATTTAATAATATTTATCGAGTAAAAATTTTAAATTTGAAAAATGGGTCCAATTACTTACTTTCAGGGTTCAATTTGCTAATAATATCATTCTAATAGAGAGAGAAAAAAAAACTATTTAATAGTTTTAAATATGACAAAAAGTTTGTTGTTGAATGTGTGACGAAAAATTAGCGTTAATGCTTATCCCTTTTGCCAAATTTTTTTGTCGATTAAATAGTCTCCAATGACAAAATTAAAACAAAAACATTTTTGTGTTTCAATAAATGTCAACTACCAATTTAATTTTCTTCTTCGTTATTTTTTCACTCTTCAAAACATAGTTATCATGTTCGATCCAAAAGTTGACTCGAACAAATTATCGGATCATCGAATTAGTGGTTCAACCTGTGAAACAGTTTTTTAATTGCTGGTTCATTGTAATATCAAAATTTAGTTAGAAAAATACAAGAAATGGAGAATATATCTATTACTTAAGAAAATTGAACATATATATTTTTATTACACATAATTTATATAATCACCAAATGTCATAGTTGTCAAACTCTTTATATTCTCAAATAAAGTCACAGGTTCAAATCTTCCTATTGCAATTTGCACCGAATTTAATGCCTATACTCCAAATTGGTGAAAAATATAAACTAAAATCATTTGAACAAAGGATTGCAACCAAAGAGAATCAAACTCAAAATTTCCCTTTCATTAGTGTCTTATCAATTGAATTAGAAGACCTTCTTTGGAAGAAAAGGAAATTACAGATATATATATCCACCAAAAAAAATATGAATGTCGACAGATCCAGCACAGTCGACCGCTTGTGCTCTCCGAGTGCTGGATCCACCACTGTACACAGACATACCCTGCATGCTAGCCTATATTCCAATCAGGATCAACAACAAAATGTTTATATGCATGTTTTTGGGGACGGATCTAGACTTTTTATATTGCGAGGTCAAAAATTAAAGTGCATATAATGGCAATAATCATAATCAATAAATCAAAATGAAATTTTTTTTTTTTTTATTTTTAGCAACAAAAAATGGAAGATGGATGGAAGACCTGAATATAATGTTGGCATAATGACTAGCATTTCCAAATTTGAAAGCAAAACCATATTACACAAATGAAATTCGATGAAAATAAAGGCAATCTTACAAGACCTAGTTTTAAAGGCGGATCATTCGCATATTTACCCCCATAAAATACTCGTTGAAATAGAGTTTAGTTCTTAAAGACGTAGTTTTAAGAGCTTATATGTAAGTGTTTTCTAAAGAGAAATGACGAAACAAAATTTCAACGTGAAGTAAAACATTTTTATAAATCTATGTCTACGAATTCCACACAATTAATTTGTACGTTCTGTTCTATTATGATCCTATATTATTTATATAACTCATACTTTCTCAATTTGAGATCAGACAAATATTTAAAACAACTAAAAACATAATCACAACAACTCCTTTATAAGTAATTTTTATCTTTAGTGGCATCTACGTCCCTAAATTTCAAGTATCTGTATCATTTAATTGTAAACCATTTTTGACTGACTTTAACCTAAATCCGTCAGAATTTAATTTCAACTTCTACTTTATTACAATTCATATATCCCTCTCTTCCAAATTCCAA